AGTTTTGTGCCATTTATCTTGTGGATGTTCTTTAAATTAGCTAAAATTGTATGCATGTTCAAAAAAGTGCTCTATAAATAAAGATTCTCAGAGCAGCGTAGATACCTTTTGGCATCTACACTGCTCATTTGATCAACAAAATATAGCACAATGTCAGTTCGACTTCAGGGACATCAATTTGTGCAGGTAGGAAGCATGAGGAACCATTGTGGTGCACATAAATGTGACAGCAAGACAACCCACCACAAAGGGAATTACAGGAATTATTAAAGGATTTAAAGGTGGTGGCCACAGACCATTCCTCTCTCCTCATTCCTCCTTACTCATTTTTCAGTAGTTTTTATTCTGTCTAGTGTCCTTCTCACTACTGGCAGCATGTGACGATACTAGCAGGTTATACTACAAAGGGAGTTTTCTGTGTCTTCTGACTAAATCACCGTGGTAACTTGTGTTGATCACAGTGGTCAGGGTCAGGTTCTGTTCAGAGTTTTGGTTTAAAATTGACCGGGAGCTCCACTTTCTCGCTGATTCTTTTATTTACAGCATGTTTTAAGTGGAATGTAAATTGTCTGCAGGGTGAATATGTATTACGTGCACAAGCTGTGAACATCATGAATGAATCAGAGCGTTAAAGGTTCAGCAGTGCAAACTGGGCACTGGCATGATACATTTATTTATTTGGTGATGCAGAAAATCTATAAATGTTGTTATACTTCACACGAATCTGCTCTTAACTCTCTTTTAGACTGCTGGAACTGCAGCTACTTTGCTACTTACTTTGTTCTGCTGACAAACTAAAGCAATTTCCATCCAGATGAGCAGACTCAACGTTATGGCATGTCTGTACGTGATCATCCATCATGACACTTTGACACAATTTAGCAAGGATGGCTTAAAACTGATACGTAACTTTGATGTTTAATTGTATCTATTTGAAAGTTTCAGAGCTTTGTGATTATTTGGGTTTTATGGAATAAGCTAAAGCAAAGAAAGCCTGGCTTTGTTGAACTTTGTAGTATATCCCTCTGCTGTGTCTCCCAGCACAATCTCAAAAGTGTGGAGGAGATGGACCATTTGATGAGGAGACCTGGACATCACTGACTGGCATCAGCAGACTACACCACAATCGCCATGTCAGCTCTTGGTGGCATCATAAAGTTTGCTACGGCATCTTCATGCTCTTTCACATCTTTCACATGTGCTCAGTGTGAACCTGAACCAAAGCAGGTGAAACTGATTCACAATGGTTTGTGCTTCCTAACTGTACAGCATGACATCCCTGACATTTATTTACTTTAGTCTGTACTGTGATGATCAAATGTTCCCTTAATGAATGAATTTTTTGTGTGTGTTTTTCTTCCCACATAACATGGATGTAGGAAGGAGACTCAACAGTGCTTAAGCCATAAAGGCTCTGTGCTTAGGATCAGGTTAGAGCCAATTAGAAATCTAAGCGGTCAGCCAATGAATAACCCTCGCCTGTGTGTTTAACTCTGCCTCGTTTAAAAAAATAGGTGAGGAAGTGCCTCGTGCCCTGTACCTG